CTTTTTTTAGTTCAATAACAACCCTTATAAATACCCTTCATAGGTACCAAGTAGAACCAAGTTACTTTGCTTTTTTACGTATCGAGTTTCCAAAAGTTGTAGGATTTTTTCCCATCGCGGCAACACTGAGCGTGGGAATCTGACTGACAGGCGGCCGTAAGTGACGTCACCTGAACTGACATTGCATCGTCGCGTCGCGTCGCGTCTCGTCTCGTCTCGGTTTGAAGCGGCTTCAAGATGCATCGAGCGGCGCCGCGCGTTGCATCTTGATGCCGCTTGAAAATGACATTGCAGCGTCGCGTCGCGTCTCGTCTCGTCGCCTTCTGTGGGAACTGACCCTAAGTTAGTCTCATTTACGTCAATTGTCAGTTCGGTAGATTTGAATGGGACATCCAAGATTTTAGGTACGCACATGTTGTCATAATTGTCTCATTTCATGTCATAACATATAGCCTAAAATTCCGGACGTAAATTACACATTGTTTTTAAAATAAGTAGGATCTTTTCGAATATTATTAATTCTATAGAATTCACCTTATTCCTTATTCTCTTCATTTTCTTCTGAAACACTTCCCAATTGTCTCTTCAAACTCCTGGTAGGTATTATTCTATGCAAAATTTGTTATGAAAGCTGCTAAATTCAGCATATAAACAAGGTAGCAGGTGCAGAAGGTACGAAATTAAATAGGTAGGTAGGTACGTAGGCTTCCTGTAGGGCGGTGCCTATAGGGATTTCATTTCGTACGAAATACTAAATACGGGCTCTCTATATTAAATACCAAATTTTAAAACACTTCTCGTGTTAGGTATACAATTTAGGAAAATGCGAAATTTTACCAGTACAGATGGCGAAGGTTGCTGGTTCTAATCCTGCCTGCGGTGGAAAATTTTGCAAGTTTTCTTTAATTTACAATGAATGGGCTTGTGACGAAACAACTTATAGACAGATTGAGTATCTATAGTGCTTAGAACACTCTAGTATTTAGTATAATATAGTCACAATACTGATAGACAGATTGAGTATCTAAAGCGATAAGAACCCCTTCGTATTTAGTACCTATAATAAATTGTCATTTATGCGTGACTAGACTACAAAAAATGAAAACAGTTCACACAAATATACCATCAAAAACTATTTCATTGAGGCTAACTTATTTAATTTATATGTTATTTAATTTTAGCTAGGACGTAAAAAGTATGGTTTGTGTATTTTTGATTTGTATGAAGTTGTCTTGAAAAGCTAGAGTCGTTATAGGTATCAAATTCGACTCAATATTATATTAATTGCTTGAATAGGTCGGTAGGTTTTGTTTGGTTTTACGCAATAGTATGTCGTAAAAAAGAAGCAAATAAAAAAACTACGTATCTTTTACATACTACACTATATTGTTCGGATAAATTCGGTGGCCTCTCTTTAGGGCTAGGCCCCACATAAATAATTCGCCCTTTAATTTGGGCGCATACTGTGAATTCGTTGAATTAGTTATTCTGGTGGAAAATGTCCAATTTATCTTCATTTCTGAGGTCGCCTGAATATCTTCAGCAATAGACTGAGAAGCCCTTTGATTTCTTGCCTTATCAAAAGTCTTAATGAAAGTTATAATAAGACTGTCTACGTCTAGTCTAGATCTATTTGAATATCAAACACACACCCACACACATTTATGACGTACATAAAAGAAGACGTATACAGTGTGTTACTTGCACGCGGACATACCTATTTTATTGAAACTGGTGATTCTAAGCATCTATATGGACATCTTGTACTATAGGGTCATTCGTGAAATCACAAAAAAACAACTGGTAAACCTCATACATACCTACACAAGCAAAATGTATGCAACAACTGTTCTTTTCTTTCGTGAATTCGCAGATGGTCCAAAAGACATTCAGAAGCTTAGAATAGGTAAGCTCACAATACGTTGGCTGATATCAGCTATCTATAACCTTACCCACATTATACCTACATAAAAAATTGCTTCGACTGATAGGAATAGGTAACGAGATGACTATCTACCTACAGCATAAAAGTCAAACACTAATAACTTGTAAGTACACCTTCCTTAATTAAGTCTCACAGTGTTAATGATAACATAACTAGACGTTTCAGAGTCACGTAATAAGACACTGCACGCCTTCTAGGTAGGGGTGAGCAAAGACAAATACATATATTACTCAAAGGAAAATGTCACTGACATACAAATATTCAGCGTATTTACTGGATGTACCTACATAACCACCCCCATGAAGCACGATCTATTTCGCTATCCAGTCACTACGTGCCACATAATTGAAGATCATCTGGCCGTAGGTCATCCAAGTTTACGCCTTTATACAGCGAAAATGGGCTACAATCTAATTGGGGATAGCCTTACAATTGTCATGCAGATTTTGTGAGGCTTATCAATGCTTGTTGCGCATTTTTATTGGGACATTAATTTGTCACGCATTTTACGCACCCCTAAAATATATTATTACGTACCCACCTCATATTCTTTGCCTAGATACCAACTGGAGATCTTGTTGAGCTCCTTTTAACGAAGGTTTTGCTAAAAGAAAAGAAAGATACATAAGAAAATGACAAAAACGAAATATAGACAAACCAAAGGAAATGTAATATTTTCACGGAACCCGTATTAAAGGATGTTTTTCGAGGTTTTTAATTAGGTCATACCTGCATAGTATAAAGCTCATTTATAGACTCTTGAATATTTTGAACTTGATTCGCGCAATCTGTCATATTTCATACTTAAAATCTCGTTTGTCCTTGCATCCTACAACCAATTTTGCGAAAAAACGCTAAAAAGACAAGTGATAACGATTCGTCACACACAGTTACTTATCGTCACTCATTCATTACCTAGATACTAGTAGCGATTCAACTTTTCCATTCAAGGCATCAACTTTTAGGTACTTGGTTTTCATTAAGTTATTAAAACCAGTATAGGAAAGTAGCTCTCTTACATTGTAGGTTGACATACTCTTTGTATTCTTTATCTAATACAATATTTTTGACTGAATTCACCCATTCTTCAACTCTTATCCCTATATTCACCCATTGCTCGGTAACAGTCGAGTTTGGTTCACACTCGATCTGGGCTCAATCGCCTTAACATGGGTTCCCATTATAACGTCATTGACATGGTTTTGGCAGCAATTTTGTGGGTTTCGGGATTTTATATTCACTTCAAGATAAAAAAATGTGACTTACACATTCTGATTTGAATTTCGATCCATCCAACAAATACTTATGTATAGGGTGGAACGAATTCAACGTAACGAAAACTTTCTTACATTACGACGACGTTCGAATAAGTATAAGCCATATTTGACAGCTATTAAATTCATATTAATGCTATGACCATAATTTCTATTTTTCTTTGTTTACATGTCTTCTAGTAAAAGATTTGTGTACGCAGTCCCTTAAAAAACCCATATTTTTAATTCCATTTGCTCTCTAACAACACAACTTACTAAGACGTGATAAATCACGTTCATTGTGGGAAATAATCTCCTATTAACGCCTCATAGAACCCATCGGTTACAATTATCTTTCACATTAATGACCCATAAGTTCCTTTTATTACACTGCCTCTGTGTTTTTCTATCGAACGCTTTTGCTCCATTGGGCACCTCTTGAGTAAACAGCGATAATTTGTACTTATCGGCAGTACTTCGATGTAGACTTGTATGTTGCCGTGTAGTGCCGGCCTAGAAGAGCATCACCTCATATCTTTCCCTAGGGTGTCGTGAGAAGCGACTAAGGGATTTGAGAGTTGATGTGTATTGCAATTTTAGGCGATAGGTTGGCAACCATTCACTATACTGATACACAGTCTTCTGAATGACACTCTCTGAAGTTTATTAGATGTGATGTGAATGGACGTTTTTTACTGCCGTTCACGCTCTGCCTACCCCTAAGGGATACCTATACCTCGGCGAGGTATAGGTATGTATATGTCTGAGTAAAATAATTTTTACTTATCGGCAGCGCTTCGAGGTACTCATTAAAGGATCAACTTGAGTATACAAGGCAGCTGATATCCTAGTGACATATTACCAAAAAATTCTTACATAATAATGTTGTTCAAAGGTCTTACTAATTTTATGATCGATGATCCTACTTGTATCGTAATTTAATGTACCTATAAAATGACGTAGGAAAATACCACAAGAAAATACGTCCAATACGGGCAATCTTTTCAAATTTCATGGTTATGCGTCCCTTTCGGTACCGGGGTTAATCTTTAGTCAAAGAAATTGTTTCAATTTAAACATTATAGATCATAAATTAATGTCTCAAAATAGGTAATATTGTACATAAATAAACACATCACACCAAAATACCATGTGGGGTAGGTGAAGTGTGAACGGCTGTGAAAATATCATTGATAATATCACTCTCTGAATTACTCTGAAAACTGTAGTACACATGAAATCCTCGAGTCTCTACAAATTTTCATAATTATTTCATACTTCCGGAAAATATTAATAATAATACGATCAAAGAATATTTTAATCTAATTTCGACTTGTCTGTGTCACCATCGCAAACTTTGTGAACTGTCATACGATGTCTTTAAAGATCTTAATTAAATTCCAATTTGGCTTTGTTCATTAATCAAAATGTTAATTAATTGTCCTTTCAGTCTTTTAATATCCGTCAAGCTTACGACATTCAAATAGTCAATTTGGATGTAATTGTTATTAGGGCATTTTTGGGAGAGCAATTTTAATTTTATTATCCTTGGTTTAAAAAATAACGTGATATTACTTTTATGGAAGTCCTCGTATTTAATTGTAAATGATGGACAGCGACATGATAAAGAAATGTTAAAGTTCCAAAATATTTTGTTAAGGCAATGAACAACAACATCAGGATCTAGGCCTAGTGAGATGAGAACTATATTCCATGGCATAGAAGCCGAGACTGGTTGCATTTAGGAGCAGTTGAAAAGATGTAGAAATAAATTAAATAATGAGAAAATTGAAAAATTCACTAGCGACCGCCGGGACTTGAACGCGAGACTGTGGATCACCGTCCCACCGCTCTACCGACTGAGCTTCGGGCGCCTAGCGGACCCTGGTGAATTTCTCAACCTCTTGATGCTCGTCTACTTGAACCCGGAACTGTGGATCACCGGTCGCTAGTGAATTTTTCAATTTTCTCATTATTTAATTTATGAGATTAATATCATAGCGCTGTGAGTGCATTTAAAATTCCAATACAGATGTAGAAATGTTGCCAAACTCTTACTCGTTGGAGAAACCTTGCCAAACTGCGAAAAACTTGCAAAATCACGTAAATTCTACCAAGTTTTGCAATTCAGCGGCTCACTGTTCATAATCTGGTTGCGTTTATGACTTTCAACTGCTAGCCCTTGATCTTAAAAGTCTTTATATTCCGAAAGCACCTTTCATTTTGCTTCCAAAATATTTTCGGAACTTTGACATGTCGCTGCCTCCTAAGCTAATAACTAAGTCTCCGCTGTCTCGCAGCGTAAGACCTACGGAGTGCCTACTTACTGAAAATCTTCTTGTTTTCTCCAAAAGGTCGCGAATCCGTCTTTCAGCTAAAAGCTCATTAATTTTCAGTAAGTGGTCCTAGTGTTTGTAGGAGCTTACAATGGATCCAAAATGAGTAATGGCCCGTTTGGCAAAACTTAATTAATCTTTTAATTATGGAAGAATATGAAAGAAGCTCCGAAATTGGCAAATTAAGTAAGGTTTTTGAGAGGTGATTAGGTATCAACATTTTCGTAGTAATAAAAGTTGTTATGGAAACAAAAAAAGTGTTAACGTAAAAATCAAAAACAGATGTTGCGACTCCATATAGTAATATGAGCAATATTTTATACATGAGTAGAAGCTTAATTTGACTTCAAGGTCTCAGATTGTCTTTTATGACTTTAAAATAAAAAAAAGAAATATCGTCACCTAATAAAATAACAATAGACCCATCCGTTGAGTAGTTTTTGAAATAAGATGGAAATATTTTAATATACACTCTTCTCAAATTTCATTCATTCACAACTTACTCAAAGAATTCTGAAAAAGAAAGGGGTTGGATGGAGAACCTCTCACTTTGAAGTTGTTAAAAAAAAAACACACGAACAAAGAAAATTTCCGCAACCTATGTCAAACCTTGACGTGACTTTCTTATTGACTTTCTATCTCATGTTCTATCTCCATCACTTCAGTTTACTGGCAAGCAATCAACATGTCTATAATTAACCCCCATAGCCCCAGTTAGGCTTTTAGTCAAAATGTTTACTTTGCCCCGGTTAAGATGAAGGCAAACCGAACTTCCGGTAGCTAATGCCTTTAATTGAGTGTTTGTGGATGTTGCCCCAGATGTGGATCTTGTTCGGGAGTATTATAGGGAACGTTGGGTATCTACTTAGAGTATGCGCAAGCTATACAGTGCGTGTATCGCCTGCGCCATACTCTCAGGCGTAAGCAATAAGATACCTTCGTCAAATGTATGAGAGATATTAGGGGTTTAATAGAAATGTCATTGTCGTTTTGCTACTGAGTGTTTGTACTAGTGCCACCCGTTCATAACCAGTAAGGCGCACTCTATAAGCAAGTATACCTTTACTCTGAGTGTATCTAAGTATATGGTATGGAGGAGTCTTTTGTATTCTGTGGTATGGGTTGAAAGCACTGGCTTTTGTTGGAAAGGTCGTGTATGATACGTTACTGGCTATCCGTAGCGACCCTTTCAATGATTTTAGTGACTACCTACCTATCAGTTGGGCATAGGTAAGTAGGTTCTTACAGCATTAAAATAGCCTGCTAGGTAGCAAATTTATACTTCCTCTTTTAAAATGTGGGACTTTGAGTTGACGATACAGCTGAAGAATCAGGCATAGCAGTTAGATATGACTATTTAGTTTGTAGTAGTTTTATTGAATTTTACTATTGATCCCAGAAAAAATGGGCGATATATTATTGGCCAAAAAACTATGCAAACAATTTACGGAAACACCGATTTTGATATCATCGTTAGTTCATCAAAGTGCAAGGCACGATAGCTTGTCACAAATTGAGAGCATCTACCCTCAAAAGGGTTAAAGAATTGTGCGTAAAAGCACGTAGGGAAGTTACGCCGATGCCAATCGAGATACCCCTAGTCTCGATGTCCCAATCTTTGTGCTCACGTGTTGGACGTATTTTTACTGATAAGCCGTCAGGTGCTGTTGGGATGTAGGACACACTGGTTTGAAGAACAGCAAGCACTTTACCAATTTTTGTGGTTACGTGTTGGATGTATTTTTACTGATAAGCCTTCAGGTGCTAAGGACACACTGTTGTAAAGAATAGCGCTCTATGATGATGCAAACATCAAAGAGATGTAAGATTAGGCTGAACTTCAGTATTACGGTATTACAATTTGTACAGTTTCGAAAGTCCGCAAGGATTTTTAAATGGTGAACATTATTCTCATAAATTAATTCAAGCCCCAAGAGACATTTTGTCATGATGTGCTGATGATGTAATGAATCTTAATTTAGAGCGATATTGGTTGTATATTTTACTTTTAAGACGTCAGGAGCTTTTGTGTAGAAAAAACCCCTTCCAATATAATATTTTCTAAAAATAACTCTCTTTCTTTGATAGATATCAGAGCTTTCATAAACTTTCTTGCTGAGAAAAAAGAATCACCAGATTGCTTTGCATTTTGTAAAGCAGTATGTCTCACAGTTTACACTGTAGAACGAAAGTAAACTTTCAGTTGAAACTCGATCCGTGTACGTGCTTCTATTTATCCTGCAGACATTTGTACTAAAAACTCAAACACTCGGTCGTTTAGGCTTGAACTTTACTGTAAATAGAATATTTAGACGTAGAGAGAATTTAGTACACTTACGGGGCTTAGGGGGTTTAGGGTACCAAAACTTTTCAGTCATGGTCTGATCATGCCTGTAAGGTTTTAGTGTTATGTATTTGTGAAAGCTTATGATATGTAGCTACCATAAACTGCGCAAGGATGACATGCATAATCGTGAAGCGTTCCATATTTTTATTATTTTTTTAGCGGCTAGGAATACTGCCACCCCTAGTCCACGCATGGTGTTTCGTAAAATACGACGTAGAATTTTAGACCTCAGTAGCTGAAGGTCAACCGCATGGTAACGGTGATACGACCTAATCAAAAGCAATCCCAAGGAAAGTTGACTTCAGGCAGACTGCCGGTCATAAAACATTACCAAATCCCAAGACTTTGGCCCTAACAAAGCATGTTCCGCCGACCACAACCGATTTAAGATAAGGGCAGGCATATGATATTATATAGCTTCCATAAGTTTGTATATTTATTTTATAAAAGTCGTACAGCAAGTGTTGTTCATCTTTAAGAATTGAAAATTTCCACGATGTCGTTGCATTATTTGTCTGTGCTTATCAAAAACACATAAACAACGGGATCAACTTACACTGGTTGTCCGTGGAGACTGTATGAAACGCTAGTATAAGTTGAATTTTTAAAGGTAAGCTGGGAAGTTGATATGATAACATATTCCAAGAAAACTGTAGCTTATTCCTTCAATTCAACTTGGTTTTAACGGTAAATCTCTTTGTTACAGATACCTTAGTACTTCGACAAACACCTTCGAAAATGTAAGTAAACATCACATAAAATTAAAAATATACTCTTCCTCTGGCTGAGATAAAAGTAAATCAATGGGTCAAATTCTTAATCCCCATAAAAAAAGGGAAGATTTTATTGAAAACGAGCTACTATTGACTTCTTAAAAGGCATCTTTAAAAAGATAAGCATTTTCTAATCCTTGGATATCTACGAGAACGACCCTCAAAGCAACAAATTTTGCTAAGGGTTTTTTCGTCTCTTCTAATTCGAGATTGGAAAATAGGATAAAGATGGAATTCCGTTCACGAAATCCTATTTTCTCTTACAGCGTGGAAAAAGACGATAGATTGAGCAAGTTGAATATTTGTTGTGGGTTCTTGCGATGTATTTATAATTGAGAATGTTGCTGTAGGTATTATGAAACACAGTAACGACTTGTTTTCTTAGAAAATATAATTTTCTATATTGAGAAAGGACGTGTTTGACGTTATTATAATTCTTTCTCTTTTAAAGCCATTTTCGAAAATTAAAGAATTTGGTTGAAAACGTGATAAGACCTACCTAAAGAATTATTTTTAAAATTGAAGAATTATTTTTCAAAATTGTATGAGTTGGTAAGTGAAATATATTTTTAGTTCTTGTGTTCTTTTCCTAATTTGTACTACCATGACCTTACGCGATTTTTAATATATTTTTTATCACAGTTCTTTTACTCATCGCAAGAAATATAAAAAACAAAGCAATGATTTAAGTAATACTTATAGAATTATGTACAATTCAGAAAATCGGCGCGCAGTTTATTTGTATGTAACCTTGAAACGAAGATGGGGTCAGTCATCAAGTCTTTGAACTTTGCCTACTTATTACAAAAGTCACAAGTGGTAGGTGATTGCCAAGCGCAGGTTACCTAGGTGTTGTATAAGGGACGCTGTTGCTATTCCCTGGAATCATTTCTAAGTAGCCTTTCACAATGCCCACGGGTACAAAAGAGGTGATGCTGTACTAAGCCGGCACCTACGGTACAATTCAGAAAATCGACACGTAGTTTATATGAAATCTTGAAACGAAGATGGGGTCAGTCATCAAGTCTTCAAACTTTGCCTACTACAAAAGTCACAAGTGGTAGCTGCATTGGTGAGCGCAGTTACCTAGGTGTTGTAGATATTCACAAGGGACGCCGCTGCTATTCCCTGGAATCATTTCTAAAGAAGTAGCTTTTCACGACGCCCACGTGAAGAAATGATGTGATGCTGTACTTAGCCGGCACCACACGACAACGGCGGTATTTGCCTACGGTCCCCCAAATCGGACCCCGTTTCATGCGCCTAAATAGAAAATTAAAATCATCCTTTGTAATTCAGATGCCTTGTGGTGTGAATGGGTCGATTTCAATAAAATTTAGATTCTGCGGAGTTTTTACATCAGCCGATTTCAGGGATAATAGAATTAAATAATTACAATAACAAACGAGGTTGTCAGA